CAGAAAGGAAAGCTCTGCAGAGAGTGGTGAAGGCTGCACAGAAGACTGTTGGAGTCAGCCTCCCCACCATCACATACCCTGAGGCTGTTAGACTCATGAATCCCTAGTCAGGATGATCACTGTGAAAATTACTGTGAAAAAAATCACTGTGATGCCATTTGGTTGTTGATGTGTGCTGCTGACTATCCATGATGCTGATCTCATGCTGCTGATTTATTCCATGTTGCTGTGTTCATCTGTCCTCATCTGCTCACACAGACTCATGTCCGTGCTACTGTTCTTTGGCGCATTGTTTTGTACTATTAGTGCTTAGTATAATCTTAGTTTAACATATTTCTTAGTTCATATCTTAGATCTTACTACTGTTTTTCTTTACAATTTGTATTTTTGTTGGATGTAACTGGGACCCTGTGCACATAGTTTCGTTCCACCTAATGTACCACACGTGATGTGAATGACAATAAAGACACCTTGACCTTGACCTTCTCTAATCTCTGTGCCATCACTCCAAAAAAAAAACTTGTTTGCTTTGTGTAAATATGATGTTGAAAAATGTGTAGTTTTTGGTAAATATAATTAATTTTAGGAAGAGTATCATGACGCATGAAAACTGAAAGTCTAAAGACATTTTGTCACAATATTCCTTGTTAAATGTGCAGAAATCTTGTTTTAACATGCAAATATGTTCATAATATTTAATATATTAGTGTATATAGAATATTATACACTGATTAGTCTTTGTATAGATCTAGTAGATTCTGTATGAATGGGTCAATGAGGGCACAGATTGTAGTGTAAAGCCCTTTGAGTATCTTGATAAGATAGAAAGGTGCTATATAAGTACAGTCCATTTACCATTTGTTTAAAAATAAGTTGTAAAAATATATAATCCACGTGTATAGAACTGCAAATGAAGATCCACATTTTGCATTAAAAACGAAAATACAACCACGAAAGCAGCATGAACAATGAGGAAGGAACACAAGAACTTGTATTATATGATGCATTCCTCTGTGTTCATTTATTTTTGCCTGCATATAATCAATTTTGATTAAATATTGACAAACCCTTTGGCACTGATAACACAGAGGAGGCAGTGTGCGTGGTTTATGTCCCACACTGATAACCTGGCAGACACATTAATCCAGCAGCTAAACACTATTAAAACCCTTCAGCTCAATGGCGATAATAATAAAAACACACAAAAAACACCTTGTTAAATGCCTTTTGTCCTGTTTGACATCCCATCCACATTTATGTTACTAAACACAAATGCACACATAACAAATCTGTTTCAAATCTAGTGTAAAAACTCCAACATAATGGTTTTCTTTAACCCACAGATGTGTTTTGACTCCAAGGACAATAAGTACCAGAGTGAGTGCCAGTGCTCTGAAGAGAAGCCACTCACACAGACAATGAGCACGCGTACAGTTCATACAGTGAGCACACACATACTCCATGAAGCGGCCTGTATATTCAGCTGCGCTCTTAGCTCACCGGTCCTGCTTAGTGACATCACATTCTGACAATAACACCATTCATACAAATGTTTCTTACACAACCTGGAGTTAGCCTCCTATTGTGTGTGTTGCTCCTTCTCACCGCAAGAGGCTTAGTCCGAGGTAGTGGAAGAAAATGAATGGGAGACATAATTGGGTTGCCATGTATGCTAACAGTTTAACTCATTTCATTCTGCGCTGACTTCTCATTCAATCACGACGGAGGTGAAAACTGATAAATCTGCGTCACAGCTTTACTCGGCGTTTAGGGAAAGTTTCAGTTTCTTTTAACGAGATCTTCAACCTAAGCTCCTGTCACAACTTTAAAACTACAGTAAAATATTAGAACAATAAGGGTTTTTGTAAACGACCCTTAAATGGTAGCGCTGCAATAGAAGTACCATGAATGTAAAACCTCTTGAGTGCAATGAAATGTTTCTTTAAGAGCAGCACCATTTTTTCCCCCTTCAAGTAAAAAGGAGCATATTTAGCGCATGCCAGGAATTATGTCATTCACTGTTCTCGTGCCAGCTCCGCAGCCAAAGCGAGCTGCAGCGAAAGAACATATAGTATTGTTTACCACATAAAAATCTCAGCACCTAGCTCGACGCTTAGTGACAAATTTATTGTCCTTAGCAACAAGGTAAACAATAGATAATTAGGAGATAATAAATAACACATTTTCATAAACCGGCACCAAACAGTTTCAAGGCTACTCTGTGTGAAACCAGAGAGCAGGCGGGATGTGTGGAAAGCGTGGCGCTCATTCAAAGGAGACAGAAGAACAATGGTAAAGTCTTCTACTTTTAAAAAAAGGTTACACTGACATGAGCTGAGGCATTTCCCAAGATTGGCATTCAGAAATGATATAAACAATAGATAAAGACTTGTTTGATCCGCTCTTGTTACAGATAGAGTACTTATTTATCATAAATATCATAATCACACATCCTATCGTAATGACACATTTGAGGAAAACTGTTCAAGGGAAATACTGAAGGGCTTCACGAGTGCACGAGTTTCATGTGCCGCTTCATTTTTAATCACCTGACGCCTTGAGTTTGTTTCTATCTAAGCATGTGTCACTATGCAAGATCAACAACACGGACCTGGAGCCGGCTGTGTGTGTGTGTGTGTGGGGGGGGGGGGTGTTTGCAAGGCCCTGTGGAGAGCTGGCTCTGAGCGGTGATGTAATGCCTTGGCCGGCGTGCTGTGGAACTTGGCCTCGTCTCTGCTGTGTTTCCTCCACACTGCGAGGGTCAACTATCCCACAACCTCCTGCACACAACACACACTATTCAATCCCCCAGACCACAACAGAGCAGAACTCAACCACACCCAGCACCACGAGCACCCGGTCCCTTAACAAGAAGGAGAAGAAGAAGAAAAAACATTTGAAACAAGACTAATAAAACATTCCAACCCCAACAAGAAACTTGAAGCATTAAAGGAGAGGCAGGCGTGTCAATTATTCCACCATCAGGCTGAACTTCACCACTTAAATGATGGCACTTAAGAGGGGGGAAATCTGGACAACAAAGAATTACAGTGATGGAGATACAGTCTTTAGCCCAAAGAGAACAAACAGAGAGCTTTGAGCGAGATATGAGTCCCCTAGGGGCCACAGCAGTCCTCTGGCTCATTAACTATTTACACCAGAGACAGGCCTCTCTACTGCTCTGGCCCACCACAAAATCAATTAGCCTTCATTAGCCTCGTCTCTGGGCATGCTTTCTCTGACAGGAGAGGATTAATCCTGCAACCAGCCTGCAACCAGTGCCTCAGTTACAGCAAAAATACCAAACGATCGCTCATATTCACCATAAATTCAGTGCATGCAAGTAAACAGAGAGACAAGCTCGGCCGTGTTTTCAGTTCACGCACAGTTCTTTCAAATTCTCACACACCTTCACAGTTTGGTCTCACAGAACATCGATGCTGTCTCACCTTTCAAATTTGCCTTTCTCATCGTGCCTGTCTACGAATGTATGCCTCGCATGTCTGTCAAAATCCCACACGAGCCCCTTCTTCGCTCTCACAGTGTAAACGCAGAGCAGGAAGAGTCCATCCAGGTCCGCTCCTCCGAGGTGTGGGGTTACAGTGCGGAGATTTCCAATTGGCGGAAAGTCAACATGGTCTGGGTAATGTGATTAGAGCCGGATTGGGAATGTCGCAGGGGACACATGGGCCCGATCATGGCCCAGTTATCCGATAGCAAGGCCGTATTTATCGACCAGGCCTGGGCGAGGATATTACAGTCATTAGAGATCCTGTCTTTGCTTATGAAACTTGTGCTGTAGATCGCACACAGATAACACAATTAGTCTCTCACTTTCTGTCCACAATCACAGAATTCCATCAGTTGTATTCAGACATCAAGGAGCAGAATCTCAATTGATACAAATTTGATTGTTCTGCCTCGCATCGAAACGGCCAACATACCAGAAAGTTGCACGGTTAAAGGGGTCTGTGGACCTTCAGTGAGTGCATGTTTATGGGAGAGCTAACAGAGCATTTACAATTCAATTACACAGATAGTAGGGAGGGGGAAAAGAACAAGATGTGTCTGGATGACGGCCAGAGGAGAGATAAGCCTAATACACTAATATTGTGTTACCCAAGTGTGTTACCATAGGAACAGTTGAAGAGATTCAAAAGACTACAAAGACGATCAATCTTGGGAGAGCAGGAGGAAGAGGGAGAATTAAATGCCCTGGGACTGCTCCCACTCTCCTCTATCAGAGCAATAACTCTTCTTATGACCCCTGCTACCTCCTCTTTCTCGACAAGATGTTTCTCTCCAGAAAAGCTTGCAATCTGCAAGACTTCCCAAGCAACAAAGAGCAGCCTACTTATTTATTCTGAAAGCAAAGTTTGGCAATTGGTTACGCTGCTACAGCAATAATCAGTTCTTATCACCTTGAGGCTAATTGTTCATGCTAATAAAATGAATCCTGTTAGTCAAAAGTGTCGGAGCGTTGCTTACATGCCAAGTCAGGAACAGAGTAATCTTTCCCTGTAGATGTTTTTTTTTTCTGCATTGCCAGTCATGTTCAATAGTCTTTTAACTTCACAAACCAACCTATTTTCAGCCTTTCTCCTCCTTCATCTACATCCCACTGCTATAACTGCGTGCTTTGTGAAGGATGAGGTCATTTGATTTTTCCCCTGCTGTGTTAAACTAGTGCTAACAAGTTGCAGGTTCTACAGAACACGTTCTGTACATTAAGATATACATCAGGCAGTCAGTGGGCAACCGAACCACAACCACATAAAGAGCTCATTATTCCAGCCAGAGTCTCCAGTGCTGCACTGGCAGGTTCAGACACAGCTTTGATTACATACCGAATGATGAAATCCACACAGGCCTAAGAGCGCAGCTTTGCTGGCACAGCCCAGTGGAAAAGAAAGTTGCAACACTTGCACGTGTGCACTTGCGTGTTTTGTGTGTGTGCAGAAAACAGTATATTTCCATGTGAATGCTTGCATTTTACTCACCAGTTTAGCTTCTGAGTGCATTGTGGGAATGTGAGTAGATGAGCAGGAGCTGCTGTGGGCGGGGCTTTGCATACCCATCATGTTTGAGCCCATGGACATTTGTCTCTCCATCTGAAGACAACAGCAGCATGGAATCAGTCAGTTAGATGTTTTACTGTCATAATGCAAACGTTTGCAAGCTGAATCTTGAGCTTTTTATGGTATTTACAGTGATTCTCGTTACACTCTGATCATTGTTTTATGACTTGCGTTTTAGTGCAAAAGTGTGGGACTTAACCTTCTACAAACTGGATGAAATGAGAGCGCATGAGAACCTGATTTCACATGACAGGCTGCCCTGTGCACAGCTTTGTGTGATGATAACTGGAGCTGACCCAAAACAGGAAGTCAGAATGGAGGGACTTAACACAGGAAGCCAGTGCAACAGGAGTGTGTGTTTGTGTACGTGTGTGTATGTGTGTGTGCATGTGTGTGTGGTGAAGGTCTGTCAGACGGAAACATCAAGCCTCGTCCTTACTAGCTACTGAATGTGCTGTTAAAATTACTGAGAAGAAACTAGAACGATAAATAAGACTGAAATCTGTATTAAGGAGTGTGTGCCAATGGCCTGCCTCTGACTGACGCTGGGCAGACTGGTCATGAGCAACAGCTAAAACCAGAATGTGAGAAAATCAGCTGGATAAGCTGACAGGGTGAGAGGTCACCTGTGCAGGGTGATAATGTGCGCAGTGTTTGCCGTGCAGCGAAAGCAGGAAAGAAGAAACCTTTGTTTCAGAGACTGAATGCATACGGATATGAATGTGTGCACGCGCAGTGGCGTCCCAGCGGCTAATCTCTGGCTGGTGTGGTCCATGTATCCCCCCACCCCCACCCCCTTGTTTTTTTGCCTGACCCTCCCATCTTTCTCTGTGTCCATAGAGACTTGGGTCTAGAACCTGACACACAGCCTTAATTGCAGTAAGTGTGTTTTGTGTAAAAATATCGCCCAAACCTGCACCCCTTTCCTGAACCGTCAATCTTCCCCCCAAATCACTTAGCTCCTAATTTAATAAACTTGGGAAAGGTTTTTCCATAGCATAAACATGGTTGTCTTGTGTTACAATGAGAACATATGTTATATCATTAGAACCCAGATGTAAAGAGATTTCTCTGTGTTGGTATCATTTCGGTGACACAGTCTCTAAACCTTTTAATGAAAATAAAGTTTAAATTGTAAACCCACGGGAGAAATCCTTCATTTCTGCTGGAGATGTCTTGTGACAGAAAACATCCATAGCAGTCAACCTATGTGCTTTATATGCAGCCAGAGTGTCCAGTGGACGGATTTTTGTTTATTAATTCATGTACGTAACTGGACATGTCCTGCGATCTGTTGTTACACTCACAGGCAACAGTACAGCGGAGGATCCAGGCATGGTTGGGTCTGGCAGAGTTCCAGGCATGGAGGCTGGTAGAGGCTGTCTCTGTCTGTTTCGTAGGTGCAATAGTGAGGACAGAGATCCAGGGACAGGCCTGAAACAACACACGCCACAAACATCAGGTTGTACATCTGTGCAGAATATTATCCAACTGTCTTTGTTTAATTGTATAGTAGCCTCAAACCCAACATATAAATTACTGTGAAAAGAAAAATGCTGTGAGTGTTGTAATGACTGAAGAAACAAAAGAGATTCAATTCAGTTTATTTATAAAGCGCCAAGTCACAACAGAAGTCATCTCAGGGCACTGAACAATTCATATATATATAAAAATAGGAGGAGCAGTCTGCTTTGAGTTTAACTCCATCGCAGACTCTCATCTTGAACAAGCATGAAGGCGACAGTGGAAAGGAAAATCTCCCTCATGAGGAAGAAACCTTTAGCAGAACCAGGCTTGGGACAAGCGGCCATCTGCTTCGACCGGCTGGGTTTGAGAGGAACAGATACACAATGGCAGGTCCAGAATCACGTTAAAATAAAAATAATATCAAATGAAAACTATTCAATTTTAACAATTAATTTAAGGAAATTAGGTCAATTTGTCCTCCAGTAGTCTAAGCCTGTGGTAGCGTAACAAGCCAACTATAACTATAGGATTTATCAAAAAGGAAAGTCTTAATCCCAGTCTTCAAACTGGACAATGTGTCAGCCTCATGGACAGAAACTGAAAGTTGGTTCCACAAGAGAGGAGCCTGATAACTGAAAGATCTTCCTCCCATTCTGCTTTTGGAAACTCTAGGAACCACAAGTAAGCCTGTAGTCTGAGAGCAAAGTGCTCTGTTAGGAAAATATGGAACAATAAGATCTTTAATATAAGATGGAGCTAGGTTGTTGAGGGATTTGTTGATTAGAAGTAAGATTTTGAATTTTATTCTGGATTTGACAGGGAGCCAATGGAGAGAAGCTAAAACTGGAGAGATATAAGCTCTAATACTAACTCCAGTTAAGACTATGGCAGCAGCACTTTGGTTTTACATTCATACATTAGCATTTTACATTCATATCATCAAAACATGTTACATTTCTTTCATTATTCTGCATTTATTTGTATGTTAAGAAAATATCCTGATGCATGCTCAATAATCCAGGTAGAAAAATCCAAAAAAGTTCAATCTGGTCCTCTGGACATTCAAAAAAACAAAAAGCAAAACAAAGCAAAAAAAAAAACATTTCTATATTTTTTTGCTTTGTTTTGTTTTTTGGTTTTTTGAATGTCTAGAGGACCAGATTGAACTTTTTTTGGATACGTTAAGAAAACAAACTTAATAGTATAATGAGATAAATCATAGCACTAAAAGAAATGTTTAAATACAAATCATGATTTTTTTTTTTGGTTAGTTTGCACTTAAGTTTAAACTATATAATAATTAGATTTAGAAACTGCTGAAGCTTTGGAGGCCTTGTGGGAAAAGTTGTCTTCAGTGAAACGTGCACAGACTGACTGGCCGATTTAATACTTGTGGCCACATCAATAAACTGAACGTACAGAGAGGCCCAGATGAAGCTTAACTTAATGATGGCAGTCCTGTCTCAGTCATCGACTCACCCACACAGCCTTCATGTGCTCGCTGTCACATCATTGATACAGCTGCCTGCAAATCCCTGCCTATCCAAACACCAGCATCCAGCTGCAGGACGGTGCACAGCAACATGCATGAAGTTACTCCTTTGCCTAAAAACATCCCATGATTATTTAATAACCTGCAGCAGAAGAATCAATACCACTCCAGTTATCAGTATCATTAGGATGAATGCTGCTGCTCACCACTCAATAAAGCTCAGTTTCCTTCAGCATTAAACGTATAAGACAGGCAAGAAGAATTTAGTTTAGCAGCGCCGAATGAGTTTGTGAAATTAATCAACAGCATCATTGACTGCTTCACTATTACAGAGGGAAGTGAAAGAGTGATGGCTAAATGAAGGGGGTGAACCAGAGCAAACACTTTCCCACCTGAATAAATACCTGTATTTTTCCAGACCTAAACATGTGCATTTATGCTCCAGACAGTTTAGATTACTCCACGTATACAGACATAGGATCATTACCTTCCTGGCTGTGTGTCATTCCTGTCTAACATCCCAATTTATCACAATCACACTCATTTAACAGCACGTATGACACCTCAGAAGAAGCATTGAAAATCCAAATATTTCCACATGGGAAAAGTCATTAAAGTACAAAACGGTGTGCAGCTTCATAACTGCATCCATACAGTCTTCTTTGGTGCTCGTGGTAAAGGATGAAGAAACAGTCAGGTGGCAGTGAAATGATTTTTTTAAAACAGAATAGGTTCCTGGATTATTTTCAAGTGTAACAAGTGTCTAATGAGCTTTATATTTAGCTTTTTTTTTTTAACTGTAAACATGGACAAAATATGCTTAAAGTAATTCTTAGGTGAAATAAATTGATTTTACGTCTAAAAAAATGTCAAATTAAAACAAAATTATTGTATTTCACCAAGAATCTACAGCATACCTCATAGATTACTGAGGCTTTTGATCCATGGATAGTTGCCAAAGCCTTGCAAAAAAAAGAGTAATAAACAAGAGTCAAACTAGACAAAAGACAAGACAGCTATGTCAAGCTCCTTTTTCAAGAGAAGAAAACTTCCTTTGAAGCATTTCCAGGTTGTACTCCTGCACCTGTTTGTTAGAAAAGCCAACACAAAGTGTGCGTCTGTCACCACGATACACATCAAAACACAACCTGCTGATCCAGTGGAGGGGAAAAACACCACCAGCGTGTGACAGCACTTCCTCTGAGGATTAAGTCAGTGCTGACTCTGCTGATTCATTAAGAGCTGTCAGTGAATGAAAGAGATGAAAAAGTTATCTGTTGAATAACACTCCACATGCATTACATCCTTTGTGCTGAAGGGCTGATAGCAGAATTGATTAGTTTATTGACAGAAGCTTATTTAGCTACAGTTGTCTTGTTATTTTTAAAGCTAAAATCACAACTAAAATCCAAATTTAGTCTGTATAGTTTGCTTTTTTTGTGAAAATGGCCAGTGTATGACTTTTTGGTGAACAATTTTATAAACAAAATTCAAACTGCAGAAGTAAAAAGGTTTTTTTTTTCAACCACTTCTTTATTTTTCCTCTAAAACCTTTCAAGAGTAGCAGTGAGTTTTATGAATGCTGGATGTGGAATCAATATATGACTGACTGTGTGTGTGTTTGAGTGAAAAACGACAGGCTTCAGCTCCACTGAGGGCACTGCTAATAGCCATGAACCCTGGTGCGTGTGCGTGTGTGTGTGTGTGTGTGTGTGTGCGTGCGTGTGTTTGGGGGGGGGGGGGGGG